AGCAGCCTTCAACTTCATTTGTTCTCTTTAAAGATGAAATACTTAGCTAGTGTGTAGCTTACATTTACATTAGAAAGTCTATTATTTATTTATTTATTTATTTGATTGTTCTGACATTTATTTTTAATGTAAAATTACCTTTAAATGTCCAAATAAATTTTTTTTCACTTATTTTTAAGTCCAAGAAACTACTGTTTTTTGTTTTTGTTTTTTAACCAAAAATTGGTTACTGAGCAGCAGTAAATAACACTTTAAAATATAACAGTAAATAACACTTTAAAATATAAGTTTTCATTTATAAGTTTTCATGTAATTTTTTTAAGTAGTAGTGAAATTAATAACTGCATAATAATCGTGATAACCATCAAACCGTGATTATTCCTCAGACTATAAGTGTATAACCAAAATCTATGATCGATGCATCCCCAGGCTTGACTTTATATGGAAAGAGCTCACTGAATCTGTTCATATCTGATTTGCCCTTGTTTGGTAACAAATGAATACCTCATAATATACTTCAGAAACTCTGTACGTCACCATTTTTACATAATCTCCAGCAGGAAAGTTTGCATACTCAGGGTCTGCCTTCTGCTATTCATTTCTGTGCTTTGTAGTTGCACTCGATAATTTTTTTCCCCCAGTCCCAAATATTTTTAATTCTGTTTATTGTAAAATGAACAGCTGTTTGTAGAGAAAGAAAAAATCAAACCGGCAACATAAATACAGATGAAAAACATGAGGCATGAGTATTTTTTTAGCAATAAATTACATATTAGATGTGTTTTTATCTACTGTTTCTAAATTATTGACATATTTTCACCTGTTTTTCACACTTTCTGCTTGAAGTCAGGTAACAAAAGTATCGACAATTATTCCGGGTATGTCTTTGGTTTTCATTTTGAATGAAACAGCTTGAAGTTTTTATGTTTTCCTTTAATGTTGTGCCAAAAACAAGCAGAGAAGACTTGAGATGCGCTTTACTTCACGCTATTGTGTTTTAATTGTGGGATATCATGGCGAGAGGAACATGTGTGCAGCAGATTCGGGGAATGGTGATATCCAGTGACCTCTTGCTACCCTGTAAATGTTTATCGCGTGTTAAATTAAAGATCTGCGGTGAATACAACACACACGAGGTGCTGTGAGTGTAACAAGATGCTACTTGGCTTTTCTTTGTCTTTGATATTATACCCGTCTCATTCCACTGCTTGGCTTTGCCTTGGACAGATTAGCTTCGTAGGGTAACGGGGGTCTTTTGGGAAATAACTTGAGCTCAGTCCCTGTAGGGCAAGTCAGATCTTTTAGTGGCCTTGTTTCCAGAGCCTACAGGCAGCCTTTTTTGAAGGTGCAGAAGTACCAGATAAATGTGGTTAAACAATTAGACAAAAACTTTTTCTGAATAGAACATCAGTAGAGTTCAGACCACAGCTGTAACGATAAAGATGTTGAGAAACGATATCATTGAGATCACTTTCAGAATGATTGTTTTACCGCTGTTAAAGGATTAAACACTGACAGTCCGTCAAAATCCATTGAAATATAACATGCTTGCGCCATTTAAAGCTATACGGATGACATTGTGCAGGGTGTCCGCAAGGTCTTAAAGTTTTTCTTAATTTAAAAACTTAAATTTAGGCCTCACAAAGTCTTAAAATTACTGAAAAAGGGTGTAAATAAAGGTCTTAATTTTGTCCATGTAAAGTTACCCAGTCTGTAAAACCAACAATCCATCTTAAAAACGTTTAACAAACATAAAATTGATTAACTCTATTTACCAAAAAAAGTTTGATTATCTTCCCTACATCCGTACAATATACACTCACCAGCTACTTTATTAAATACACCTGTCCAACTGCTCATTAACGCAAATTTCTAATCAGCCAATCACATGGCAGCAACTCTGCATTTAGGCATGTAGACATGGTCAAGACGATCTGCTGCAGTTCACACTGAGCAACTTTGGGCTCATTAGTACCAATTGAGCATTGTGTCAACGCCACAGTCTACCCGAATATTGTTGCTGACCATGCCCATCCCTTTATGACCATAGTCTACCCATCTTCTAATGGTGACTTCTAGCAGGATAACACACCATGTCGTCAAACATGATCAGTTTACTGTACTCAAATGGCCTCCACAGTCACCAGATCTCAATCCAATAGAGCACCTTTGGGATGTGGTGGAATGGGAGATTGGCACTGTTTGATGCTATCATGTCATTATGGACCAAAATCTCTGAGGAATATTTCCAGTAACTTGTTGAATCTACGCCATGAAGGATTAAGGCAGTTCTGAAGGCAAAAGGGTATTGGTTAGGCAACCCTGTACTACTTAGTACTAGGCAACCCTGTACTAGTTAGGTGTACTTAATAAAGTTTCCAGTGAGTGGTGAGTGTATGTATGTTGTGAATAAATAGTTTATTATAGTTTAAAACTTGTCTTTTTAAAAAAGAAAAGTTATGGTAATATATATATATATATATATATATATATATATATATATATATATATGAATTTTAATACAAAAAAAATAAAAAACAGTGTTCCACTGACCATTACAAAAAATCCTCAGCGTTTTGCCCTGTAAAAGTTCGAAATTGCATTCATAATGTTCTTAAAGTCTTAAATTTGACCTGCAGAAACTCTGTTGTGGAGAAACTCTGCTTGATTTAAATTCCTCTGTTTAAGTAATTATTTACAGATAATTAACATCTTGAGAACAATTGGTTATACCAGGGGAAAGATTGATAAAATACATGGAAGTTATATAATTATATACAGTCATTATTACATCACTAATACAATGTGATGACTTTTGCACAGTGTGGATGATGTAGTATATTTGTAAAATTGTACATAATTCCATTAGGGTGATTTTGGATAGCTTGAGTGAGTTGGCTTTTATGTTTCCTGAAATGTATACTGCTGATAAACAGGAGCTCATGGTTAAACAATTTCTATGTTTCTAGATTTAAAAATAGCAGTATTTCAATGTGCTATATACAAATATTTAGTTAATATGAAATTATAGTGCTGCCAATAAATCTGTCACACATATTTTTAACAATGATATTTGATTAAGATGAGCTAATCTTAGCGGCGGGGCGGCACGATGGCTTAGTGGTTAGCACTGTCGCCTCACAACAAATAAGTCTCTAGTTCGAGTCCTGGCTGGGCCATTGGCATTTCTGTGTAGAGTTTGCATGTTCTCCCTGTGTTGGCGTGGGTTTCCTCCTTGTGCTCGGGTTTCCCCCACAGTCCAAACACATGATTATAGGGGAATTGAATTATCTGAATTGGCTGTAGTGTGTGAGTGAGTGTGTATGGGTGTTTCCAAGTACTGGGTTGCGGCTGGAAGGGCATCCTCTCTGTAAAACATTTGCTGGAATAGTTGGCGCTTTATTCTGCTGTGACGGCCCATGATAAATGAGGAACTAAGCCGAAGGAAAATGAATGAATCTTAGTGGTTTGCAATTGTTTGTTGTGAGTGATAAAAGAAGGCTTTTGATTCATATTTTGAGCAAAAGATCAGAAGGTTAAACAATAATTACATTTTTCACAGCTTTCTTTGCTTATATTTACCGAGGGTTAGAGATAATATTAGTGGAGGCCACTATATAACAGTCATCCTAGTCGTGACGTTTGAATAAAGCTGCAAAAAATGGTAAAAGTACAGTTTTTTTTTACGATGCCCAGGTGACATCAGATCAGAAGCAGCACAGCTGAGACAATATTTTGCGATGGATAACAGAGAATGTTAAGGGAGGCGTGATATTTTGTCAGATCAAAGCGTGTCAGTGATGATTTAACAGTCTGGAGGTGATTGTTATTGACCGACCCACCGAACACCTTCAGCTCAACCCCGTTCATCACTTTCCAGCTAGTTTATTTCCATGACGTCTTACGCTGAGGCTCGTGTTTACCAAAACTCTGGACTTCTGAGTTTAAACTGCTGGAAACAATCTCAGTTTTGCCCATGTGCGAGCATATAAAACTCATTTATTAGTTCAACAGTTTATCATCCTGGTGTCATGTCTTAAATCAGGTGAAGGTTTAGCTAAGGACGGCTGTGATGTTAATAATACAGATATACTGTGATTATCTAGACCTAAGCTCGTTAAATGATTAACAACCGGTCCTGAAGTTGACATGCAGTATAAACAGAGCAAATGTGTAATGTGTTCCGTGTGTAATAAACCGTTCCGTGTGTAATATATGTGGATCATGTAATAATTACCTCATGTGACAAACATAAAGAGATCATAATACAATTACAAAATACAAAAAGACTCAAATGTGATTTTCTTTTCCTGCCCTATAAACAACTCTCCTTTGCCATCATCGGCCACCAACTTACTAAATTATAATGTTTGATTTAATTATTAATAAACTTTAGATCAGAGTAACTGGGCCATTAAAATCCCTTAAATGATTTGAGAAGGGTTTATATGCATATACAGTGGCGTGAAAACAGACGAAAGAAACCCATTAAGCAGGGGTGTCCACACTCAATCCTGGAGGTCCAGAAATCTGCAAAGTTTAGTTTCAACCCTAATCAGACACACCTGGGCTAGCTTATCAAGCTCTTACTAGGCTTTCTAGAAACATCCATGCAGGTGTGTTGAGGCAAGTTGGAGCTGAAATCAGCAGGACACCGGCCCTCCTGAACAGAGTGTGGACACCGCTGCCATAAAGGTTTGAAATCACTTCAGAGAGAGTAAATCGTGGGCCAATTTTCATTTTTGGGTGAGCTGTCCCTTTAACTGTATACTGTACGCTTTTCTTAAATATTAGTTTAAGTATTAAAGCAACTCTTGTCGTTGATTGATTTTCCAGATTAACAAACATTGAGATGAAGGTTTTACTGCTTGGTCACATGAACTGCAGTGTCAGCCATCGAAAAGTGTGCTGAGCTTAAAAACAGCATGGTGTAATGAGCTTACTGACACTTCAGGAGATTTAATGCTTATTTTCTTTTTTCTCCTTGAATGTGTCTCCAGGTTGCTTGTCTAACTCACATCGCTGCAAATTACCTCAACGCTGGGATTGAAGCCAGACGATGGGGAACTGCTCACGGGAGCATCGTGCCTTATCAGGTACATACATACAAGTAAGATTTATTAGCCCTCCTGTGAATTTATTTCTCTTTTAAATGTTTCACAAATTATGATTATCAGAGCAAGGACATTTTCACAGTATTTCCTGTAATTTCATAAATTGTTTTAATTAGGCTAGAATAAAAGCAGTCTTTAATTATTTTTAAACCCATTTTAAGGTCAGTATTATTAGCCCCCTAGATTCTATTGTCTACCAAACAAACCACTGTTATACAATGACTTGCCTAATTAGCCCAATTCACCTAATTAAGCCTTTAAATGTCACTGTAAGCTGAATACTAGTGTCTTGAATAATATCTAGTCAAAGATTATTTACTGTCATCATGGCAAAGATAAAATAATTCAGTTATTGAAAAATGATAATGACTTAATTAAAACGATTATGATTAGAAATATGTTGCAAAAATCTCTCCATTAAACAGAAATTAGGGCACAGGAGGGCTAATAATTCAGGACAATAATTCTGACTGTACTATATACTATAACACTATTGACAAACTTGCGAGTTTTCCTTTTTATAAAATTTCTGTCAAATAGCAATCCGGAATAGCAGTTGGGTGAAAGATGAAAAATTGATTAGCTCTTGATAATTTTCTTGCTTTATTTACTTAGATTTTTATGAACTTTTCTTATTAAATGAAACAAAAATTTGTTTAATTTGTTTCAAGTTAGAGTTGGCATTTCTGTGTGGAGTTTGCATGTTCTCTCCGTATTTGCGTGGGTTTCCTCCGGGTGCTCCGGTTTCCCCCATGTGCTATAGGGGAATTGATGAACTAAAGTGTCTGTAGAATTTGTGTGTGAATGTGAGTGTGTATAGGGGTGTTTCCCGGTAATGTGAAAAGAAAATTATTCAATGTTTCAAATGAGATTTAAAGTCTTTGCTTAGCCTAAACATTTCTCAAAAAAGTTATTTTTATTATTGTTAGGTCATTACCACTACTACAACTATTAAATATTATAGCTGTATTACAACTGTATTACATATAGCAAATTCAACTTTATTAAATTTAAATTGAATTCGGTACATTAAATGAGTTTAATTAAACATTTAACATTGTTTAAAAAAAATAAATAAATTAATAAATATTTAAAACTTATATTTAATTAAATTTGTTTATTTAAGATAGATTTTTTTTATTTTAACTGTTAAATATAATTTGCATTGTATGTAAATCTTGCATACTAATTGAAATGAAAAACAAATAATTACATTAGATAAGTCGTGATTGTTAAATTAAATATAACATTTATTTTAATACTTGTTTACAGGCATTACTTTTTCTTTATATTTGCACAGCATATTTAAATAAAAATATCTTAATGCAATATTCAATTAGTAAAGAAAAATACAATTACGATTGCTTTTGTGTTCATAGCCTCAATATTTTTAAAATTACATTAATTAAAATAAATTAAAAATAAAATGATAAAAATGTATTTAACAAAATAAAATGTAATAAAATATCACATAGTAGAATTAAATGTGTGTTTGTGTGTGTGTATATAATACAATAAAACTGTAAAATATAAAATAAAGTAACATTAAATAATTCTAATTAAATTAATTAAAAAATAATATTATTTAATTTAATAAATTAATTTAAAGCTGAATTAAAATTTTTAACTGAATAAGACTACCGTGAACTCTGCAGGCCTGTTTTACTCTCAGTGCTTTATTGTTAATTCATCATTATATTTATTTGCTCTTATGAGTCAGTACATGCTAATAAACCCCACAATACAGCATTTCCTTTAAATGTTCTGTTTGTTATGATTGTGTGTGTCTGTTCCAGTGTCGTCCAGTTGTGTTTGTTCGCACTCTTCTGCTGTGAATAATGGTGTTTTACAAAGAACTGACCAGAGCACACAAACATTTGCTTGACCGCTGCATACGTTCGACCAGCGCATACAAACATACAAACCTCTGTTTGTTTCTCACAATTATTCACGGGGAGATATTTCTGTGGAGAATTTGATAGATTTTTTTTTGTTGAACTCTGGAATAGATTGTCTAAGTTTTGCCAAATGCCTCTTTATCTACTCTGTGAGGAAAACAAACTCACAATTCACTGTACTGTGTTCATTGAACTGCTTATTTATTCAAGTGATTACAGCTTAATACTGCTAAACTATATTAACCACTCTTCTGCAGAAGTGAATGACTGCGATATATCTAATGTTATGTGCTAAGCGTTTTATCAATGTCTACAGTATCTGCAGTTAAAACCAGTGGATATGGACTCAATATTTTCTCGTATTTATTGCAATAATGATGATTTTAACAGTAATTTTTATTCTTTTAATTTTATTATTAATTTAGAAATAAATGATTGTTTGGTTGTTTGGTGGATGTTTGGTTGATTGATTCATCGCATGGTTGGTTGGTTGATTGATTGGATGATTGGTTGGTTGGTTGGTTGGTTGGTTGACTGATTGGATGATTGGTTGGTTGGTTGACTGACTGATTGGATGGTTGGTTGGTTGGTTGGTTGGTTGATTGATTGATTGAATGAATGCATGGTTGGTTGATTGTCTGGTTGGTTGGTTGATTGGTTGGTTGGTTGGTTGATTGATTGGATGATTGGTTGGTTGTTTGGTGGTTGGTTGGTTGGTTGGTTGGTTGATTGATTGCATGGTTGGTTGGTTGGTTGGTTAATTGGGTGGTTAATTGATTAATTGGCTGTTTTGTTTGTTGGTTGGTTGATTGGTTGTTTGGTTGGTTGAGTGGTTGATTGATTGGTTGGTTGTCTAGTTGGTTGGTTGGTTGGTTGCTTGGGTGGTTGGTTGGTTAGTTGGTTAAGTGGTTGATTGATTAATTGGTTGTTTTGCTGGTTGGTTGGTTGATTGGGTGGTTGGTTGATTGATTGCATGGTTGGTTGATTGAGTGGTTGATTGGTTGGTTGATTGTTTGGGTGGTTAATTGGTTGGTTGTAGGGCTGCACTATAAATCATTTCAGTGTCAGTATCGCAGTGTGATCATTTGCAGAACTTGCATCGTGACAATATGCAATGTTGAGTTTGGATTATAATTTTGCAAGTATTTTTTGAGGCCTCTGACTGTGGGTTTTAAAAGCATTTAGGCATAAGACATTGTACCATTTGTAACTTTGACAAATGAATAACAATTAATTGTATTTATATGTTTATGAAACAAAGACTATGCAGTATTATATTTATATTTGACAATTTTAATTAGTGTATTTTTATTATCTATCTAAAATGATAAATTATTTCCAAATAGTTTTTCAACAAATCTAGTGAAATTGTATTCCTATCGCAGAATGAAAACAATATCTCAATGCTCGATTTTTCCAATATTGTGTATCTCTAGTTGGTTGGTTGATTGGTGGGGTGGTTTGATGGTTTAGTTGTCAGGTCGGTTGGTCGGTTGGTTGGTTGATTGGATGATTGACTGATTGTTTGGTTGATTGCTTTAACTATCAGTAAAAAAGCAGGGATTTTGGTGTTCAATTACACTTTTTTTGTATGAATTTCAAAGTTGATTCAAAGACATTAGACTTTTTAAAAAAAACTTATCTTACTCTGTTGTGCCCTTAAGATTTTTATTTGCATTTTCAAATTGTATGCGTAACATTTGTAATTGTGATTCAAAAATATGTATAAAAATTGGTGGATGGAAACATCTATATTGTTTCGTTTCTAAAATTAAAAACAAAAACTTTGTAAAAGTTTCAAAAGACAATTTTTTTAAAGACGATTAGCAAATCACATATTTCATATGTTGTTACAAGTCCCAACTTTTGTGAAATGGGAGTAGTAAAAAAACTTACTGTACATCTTAATGACCACAGTCTGTGTAAGCAAATGAAAATATAATGTTCACATTCTTGGTTGTCAGTAAGGTGGATTATTTTGAATTATTGCTCCCCGTACATGATGATGAGCAAGTGGTATCATTTATCAGATTTTTCCACCGCTTCTTTTTTTAGTTTAATAAAAACATGTCCTCAGAAATATGGTTAAAATCAAATATTCTTAGAATGTTCACACATTAATCGCACGCATACAAACACACACACACACACACACACACACACACACACACAGGCTGTACATATAAATGTGCAAATGGACCAACATTTTAGAAATGAGCTATAAGACGCAAGTTATTTCCCTTTATGCTTAGAGGCAGTGTGACTCTGATTGCATTTTGGCAATCTTATTGAAGGTTAAGTTTTGAGCTGGACATTATTATTTTATCCACAAATCAGTTTTTGTAAGTTTATACAAATATGCGCAACATGACAGGAATAACATTAACTTTATAAACATGATCCAAAGATATTTGAATATCTGAAACATCGACGTTATCATCACACGAATGAAGTATATTACATAATACCGAAGATCATATTAAAATATGTTATATTTGCATTGCGCTGGCACGGTGGCTCAGTGGTTAGCACTGTCACCTCACAGCTAAGAAGGTCTTTGGTTCGAGTTCCAGCTTGGCCAGTTGGCATTTCTGTGTGGAGTTTGCATGTTCTCCCCGTGTTGGTGTGGGTTTCGTCTGGGTGCTCCGGTTTCCCCCAAATTCCAAAGACATGCGCTATTTTTGTTTGATGAATGGTGACAAAAGTCGTAATGATCTTAAGCTTTTAAAAGGTAGTTTGAATAGTCTGAATGTATATTAAAGTAATGCGTCATTCACAGTTTATTTGTTAACATTTCAGTGTTAACATTAGCTCTGATTATTGAAGCAAGTCGTGTAGTTTGTCAAAGCACGCTAGTCTTATTTTATTTATTTGCTTCTTTTTAATCACGCTGACATGTGGCGTCTATACAGCACAGTCACGGCAATAAAACCACCACAACATCAACCAATCAAACAGTGACCCCACAGAATCGCAAGTCCTGCGGTCACAATATTAAAGAAGAAAAATCAGTGGGTCACGACAGTTTACTCATTGGTTAAGACCAAAACGATTCGTCTGGTGTCATTCACAACAATTCATTTA